TTTTTTTTTTTTTTTTTTTCCTAAATTCGATATATTTGTACTGCAAATTCAAATGTTTCTCTTGTTTCCAGTATCCTAAAGAAGTTTTACTTGTTCACTATATTGGAAATTAAAGCAACAGAAAATGCTAGTTGGAAAATGAGATGATTGGTCGCGACCCCTTAAATACTGTTTTCTCTACATTTCTTGCAAGATAATAGATGCTTAGATATACAACAGCATGTGATGATGACCTGTAAGCTCAATTGTCTAAAGGACTTGACAAGATAGAGAAACTTGGAATGGGAACAAGTGTAGTGACCAGAGAAGGACAACCTAGCGGGCACTGTATCACTGCTTTAAGGTCAAGGCTGTCAAGCTTTCCCCATGATAGTAACTTTGTGGACATGGGTTTTGTTTTGTATGCCATAGGAACACAATTACTTATATAAAGTAAAGAATTTTGCGAGATTGAAATTTAAACTACCCTAAAGGAAAATAAAATGAGGTCAGAGTAGAGTAAAGCATTAGATGGGAGGTGAGTTTGTTTAAGGGTTTTGTAGTTTTATATTACCACAACCAAGTTATATTTCTCTTTACTCAACTTGTAATGTAAAAACCTTTTTTATAGTTCACTTGTGCAACTGTGACGCTCAAATAGTTTCGGCAATGCTTTTGATTTTTTACCTGCAGGAATATACCATTCGGCATTGGAGGGGAATGTGTCCGAGGCCATCCGGTTGACAGAAGAATTTGCCCCTGGTTTGTTGGATGAGGATAAAGCTTTGCATTTTGACCTCTTGAGCCTTCAATTTGTTGGGATTGTGTGCTCTAGGAAACTGTAAGTAAGTTGGTGTTACTTAGGAGTTTAAACAGCTGCATTTTTAGTTACACCATATTTTATCTTTGGCAGTGATGAGGCTTTAAATTTTGCTCAGTCCAAGTTGAATCCCTTTGGGAAAGAGCAGAGATTTGTGGAGCAGCTTAAAGTATGTTCTTATTGCTGTTAATTTATGAAAATAGTCACATATACCTATTTATGAATATAGCTATTTACCTAATTAGTTGTAAATATACCTATTTATGAATATCTTTGTTATTTTATAAGGACTGTGTTGGTCTTCTTGCGTATGACGAACCAGAGAAGTCCCCAATGTTCCATCTTCTAAGCCCAGAACATAGACAGCACATTTCAGACAGTTTAAACCGAGCGATTCTTGGTATTTCTTTTTTCCTTGTAGAGTTGTAGCACTCGGGATACTTTTGGTTACCCTTTTATCTGTCTTCATCATCTGAATAAATTTTCACAATCTTTACTTTGCCTTTAATGTTGCAGCACACACTAAGCTTCCCAGCTATTCGGCAATGGAAAAGCTAATACAGCAGACAACTGTTGTTGGACGGTACTTAAGTCATGAATTCAGCAAGGTGTGAAGTCTCGCACTTGGTTCTAACTATTTTTGAATGTGGGCTCTATGAATTAATGCTTTCAGTTTCTTTTGCTTTATATGCTTCCCTTATGTCTATTTATACTGCTTTTCCACAAGGATGAGGTTGTAGTATATATGAGCAACAAGAATACTGATTTTGTGCACACAAAACACAAACACACAATAAATAAATAAATAAATTGATCTGTGACACTTCGCCATTTACCGTGTTAGTTAATTTAAAATCTAGCCCTTTCATACTAAACAATTCTATGGAATGAGTTTTTCTCCACTCATAGTCATGTGAGTGCATACAAAATAGTGTTCTGTAAGCCATTACTTATAACTGGACACTGACTTGCTCTTTTTTTCGGAATTAGGACGGGCATCACCAACCTTTCTCTTTAAAAGATTTTCTCAAGAGCTGAGCCTTGTGGATTTCTTGAAGCAACTGTTCAGATGTGTGATATTTATGGCGTTGAGGTGCTCGCGGCACGTTAAACTTCTCTTATGATTATTTATATGTAGTGCATTACATAGTACTCTATTAAGTCACTTTAGTCATGAGTGAAGTTTGTAATTATCCGGGAATTTAGACTCGAGCCACATATTCCAGGATTTTAATATAGCGTTAACGTGTTTCTACGTGTCTTGAGGTGTAAAGTTGTATAGTAGAGATTGAGTGGCTTGAGTTTTTATTCTTGTGAAGAGGGTCTCTTGGGCGTTATCAGTTTTATGTAAATGTTTTAGGATGAAGACTAAATCTCTTTAGGAGAGAACTTTATATCGCTTAGTCTCATCTATTATGTTTTATTGTGTCTTCATTTTATTTTATGTTAACTTTTGTAGGTAGCCATAGTGCGAATCAGTGTATCTTTGGATTCAAGATCAGTAATGTAAGTAAACAATATCACGATTTTTGATACGAACACCTTGTCTCACTGCAGTTTTGATATGAAATCATCTACACTTATTCACAAATGGTGTATTGACATGTGTCTTACAATAAATATGCATTGAACATATGTCAATACATCAAGTTATAAATGACTTCATAAGGGAGTCATCCGATGACTCCATATAATTTTTGTGTTTATAACAACACACTTGATAAAAGTAAAATAATAAAGAGAAAATACCCATGTATCAACTAAAACATAATTGCATATATTCTCCAGTTATTCAGAAATGATGTATTAACACGTGTCTTACAATAAATAAGTAGTTATGAATGACTTAATAAGAGAGTCATCCGATCGCTTCATAGACAATTTCACGCTTCAAGGCTCTAACAAAACCTTGAGAATATACAAATTTGTTTAGGGGTTCACACATATTATGCTCATTTTTACTGTTAGATGGAAAATTATTTTTTGATTTCTTCTTAGAGCACCCACAATGCTTTGGGTCTCTTAAAAAAAATCACATGCCATGTAGGAAGTAGACCTAGTCTATAGACAAGTGTTTCACAATGCAATTAAAAATGGACCTAGTCTAGCTTATGTGACAATAAAAAAAAAAAAGAGACAAAGTCCACATTTGGGTCTATTTTGGACCCAAGTACAAACTCAAACACTCATCATATATTCCTAATTTAATTTTTCATTTAATAAAGGAAACATATTAGAGCATTTTTATGGTTGGCATGTATGCTACACCTAGTATTTTATTTTTGCATTGAATAACTTTTAAGTTCTTTTACTTAGGTTTGTCCATGTCATTTAGGACTTAAGTCTATTTATATGTCACATATGTAAAATTAGACTCAATGCATTGTGGGTGCTCTTAGATTCACGGTTCTAAGGCTACGGATTATATATATTTATTTATTGCTAGCCTATGGGAATTTTTATATAGGTCAAATGTTTGTACACGATAGCATCACAATATTTTTCAGTATATATCGAGTTTATAGTATGTATATTTTGAGTTATGTGCTGTATTTATATTCATATACCATTTATTTAACCACGTTTATAGTTTGCCTGAGAAAAAAAAAAAAAAGAAGAAAAATAAATGACAAAATCGACCATGTCGGCAATTATAAGAAAAAGAGGTTAAGGCGTAGGGATGAGTGTTGAACCTTGTACAAGAGGGCATCACAATATTTTTTAGTATAGTGTGTTCATTTATAGTCTATATATTTTCAACATATGTTGAGTTTATCTAACCACGTTTATAATTTGTATATTTACATACCAATTATCTGACTGAGAAAAAAAGAAGAAAAATGAATGATAAAACCGACCAGGTCGGCAATTATAAGAAGAAAAAAAAAAGATCAAGGCTTAACGACGAGCATCAAAATCTCGTGCAAGACAAGCATCACAAGAATTTCAATGTATATTGCTTTTATAGTAAGAATATGTTTAGTATATGTTGCGTTTATATTTACATAATATTTATCCATCCTGCCGCCTCCAATTTCTACCCAAACATCACTATCACCCCTTTCTCTCTCCTCCTGCCTCCGCCAAACTGGTCGACTGCAAGAAGGGTGAGAAAAAAAACCAGTCTCGGAAGGATTAAGTTCTACTTCCACCGGATCGACTACCACAACCCAGGCCCCTCCACCAACCTCTTCGATGACCTCTACGACAATGGCCTGAGTCCATCGTCCGGTAGAGAGAGAGAGAGAGAGAGAGAGAGAGAGAGAGAGAGAGAGAGAGAGAGAG